TGGATGGATGGATGGATGGATGGATGGATGGATGGATGGATGGATGGATGGATGGATGGATGGATGGATGGAATTCGGCCTTCGGAGGACCCAACCTGCCGTTTTGGACACAGCCATTGTAAATTTATTCATTTTAAACTGTTAAAAAACAAACTAATCCAGACCACACCTACAGTGTTTATGTTCCAAATGTTAAGATAAATCTTCCTTTGTGCACAAATGATGTCCTGAAAATCCCTCATTTTTTCCTGCAAGCACACGTGTCTAAATCCACACCCGTGAGTTACGATGCCTGAGACTATGCCATCACACCTGGCATGATTTTTCATCTGGCTATTTTAGAAATTTTATTTTATTTTCTTGTTTCCATGAGCCAATATTCAGATCTCTCAGCACAGATGGGACTGTACCGATGCACAAAAACAGTTTTTTTTCCTTTTATAGTGGCATGGAGAGTTTGCTCAGTAAAAGCTGCACTGGCTCCAGGCGCTCACACATATCCACACAAAGCTGAGTGGAAAAAAAACATCCACCATGCAGTCACAGAAAGCCACCACCCTCCTGCATTATAAGAGACGTAACAACGTGCAAATATGAGATAATTTACGGGCATTTGGATAAGCTATTCTGGGAATTCTGAAAGAAAAATCAGTGTTTTCAGCTTGTAACAGCTATTTTATCTGCACTTTGAATGTTTGTTTTTCTCATTCTCTTTGGTTTAGATGACATATATTTAAAAAAAAAAGGGTTCCCTTTTTTTCACTTGCCACATACTAAAATTTTAATAAATAAATAAATCACAGCAAAGACGTCTCTGATTAGAAAACTGATACTCAACTAACTGAACAAAAACTGTCAGACAAACATGAAAAGGAGATGAGACTCGTCTCCTGTGGAAAGTAAACGGGAAGCAGAACTGAAAAATCAAACTGAACTCTGCATAAAAAGAACTGAGGAGAGGTAAAGAAATATTATCCTGTTATTGTTAAAAAGTACGAAAGTGTTCAGCCGGAAGGGGTGGGGGAGTGCGGGCATCTTCTCGGATTCTGACTCCCATTTCCCAGCTCAACTCTGGAGTCCCGTATCGTATTTAAGAACCATTAAATGTACTGTGAAGGCTTGTAATCCTCCTGAGACTGGGTGTGAGCAGATCCACTCCCAACTCATCTGCACAGAACTCGCCTATAGGCAGCAAGCAATATCTTTAAATTGTTCACAGTCCACCTGAAACATGAGAGATGCTGGTGTGCCGAACCACAGACCACAAAATAAAGCAACAGTCACAGTTTTATGTTTCCATCATCATCACAGTCCAGTTGAATATTAACCCTCATTGTGCTGCAGTTAACTGAAAGGAAGCGCTCTGGAAATGAGCTGCCGAGTCATCCTGACAAACAAGGCTCAGTCTGAAACAGGAAGTTAATAACAGATTCATAACGTGCTCATTACCCCCCCCACCCCACCCCACCCCCGGGTATTCAACCAAACAAATAAAGTCAACCGCATATTTATTTTATTTAAATCTAACATAGTTGGATTTGTGTTGCAAACATATTTTCAATAATCATTAAAAAAAGATTTTTTTAATGAGTTTGATAGAATTTGATGTTTTAGCTAAACAGAATTAAATACACAATGACTGGTGACGCAAATGAAAGCCAACTCACTGCAGTTCGCTGAAGCACTTCAGTGTCAGCTTTCAAATCCATACATGTCATGTCGACACAGATCCTTTTTGTCTCTACAGAGAGCCATACCTCATATCTGATTTCTCTACTTCTCGACTTCATTTAACGTTAACCCTTTTGTTTCCTTTCAGGAAGGAATGTTAGAATAAGAGTTTTATTATGTAAAATAATAATAATAATAATACTCTACGTCTTTAGTTTAGGATAGGAATTTTGTAATCAGATGGCAAAAACGTTTGGATTTAGCACAATAATCTACATATCATTGGCTTTAAGAATAATCCTGTACTGAATGTTATTATGCAGAACTGTTCAGTGGCATAGGCACTATAGGCAAATGCTAAGGGTGCCATTTATTTAGGGGATGCCACAAATGAGGGATGAAAATATATATATATATTATAACTTTTTCTCAGAGTATAGTGGGTTTAATCTGGTTTTATACTTGCTTTTCAACTGACTGGAATAGTTTTGAGTAGATCATGTACCCCTGAACCCCCTCTAGAACTGCTTCAGTCCACAGGTGTTGGTCAACTTGAACAGATGTCCCTCGTGATATCAGCAGATGTTGGCAGGCAGATCATGATTCAAATGAATTATGTTGTTAACTATTTTAATTTGACAATCTGGTTTCCAAAGATAAAAAACAACATCAAAGACAAAACGGTTTAATTTGGTACGTGAATGGATGTTAAGTGGCAGTTACTGTGTGAGTGGAAACCCTTCGGTACTTTTAGAAATGGTGTCACAATCTGTGTTTTTCGGTTGTTTTTGTGACATATTTGTAATTTCTGTTTTAGGTTCCTGGTTTTTTTATTATCAGTGCAATGCACACTATTGTGATTCGTTTCCCATCCAAGTCATCTCCACTTTGGCACACTTCTTCTCCTGCATACTTTGTCCTAGAGCTGCCATTGTAATTTATATCTGTAAACCTCCTGTGCCAAATAATGGCTATGCCTTTTGGTGCCTGTACAACTTATACTTTTTGAAATATTAATGTTTAAATTCATATAATCCAGTCAATGGAGCCTTGTATTGGTCCAATACTGCCCCTTGCTGCGTATACTCAGTACTGAACCATAGTTTTAATAATATTTAAACTCAGTAGTTCAGTGATTACAATACTAATATGATTGTATTTTGATGTTTTACTAAAATATTGTCCTAATATTACTCTGTTGTTGTGACAGTATGCAGTTCTGTGTCAATAATTGCGTTGGCAATGTGGCCTCTTTCTGCACACATACATACCAACCCCTGCCACCACCTTCTGCCCCAGCTCCATTGGTCTAATGGTCTATGTCATGGACTTTCATGTGGGAGATCAGGGTTCAAAACCCAGCTAATGCAACTTTAACAACCAATCTCTTCCAACTTCATATTGTCACTCAGTTACCTTAATTACAGGCACAAGCTGGTTTAGAAAACATATTTGAAATTGGTCAAAATTCATTCTGCAAGTCCAATGCTGCAGGCAATGACATGCTACATGGCAATGCACACTTGGTTTTACATCGTAAAAACCCATGTCTAGTTATTATTATTGTTTCATCCTTGCTGTGTTTCACAGTTTTTGTTCCTTTCTGTGCCATCAAGCCCTTCCCTCAGTGCTTTTCCATGGTTGGTCTGCTCCCTGAGTCAACCTGCCACTCCCATTTACACCTGCTCCTGTTTCCTTCATTACTGTATCATTTTTCCCTCATCAGTTTCTGGTCACGTATTCCGTCAGTTCACCTCACACATCAGTGGAGTACCAGCGTCTGATTTGTTTTCTTCTGTGATCTCCCTGAGTTTCTGTAAGTTTGCCACGTCAGCCTTTTGTTTTGTTTTATTATACAGCAGCAAGTTATCATGAGGCAAATGATGAATCATTTACGGAAAAAGAATTTTAAAGAAAGTTATCTGAATGTGCACAGCAGTTTCTTCTACAAGCTTATGAAGTACTATTTGGTATTTTTAGCAAACTCATGCTGAGAGATCCAGAAAGAAAACTGATTTCCTCTTTTTTGTTGTTGCATTGGCTGCAAAAACAATGAGAGAAAAACAAATCTTTTGTTTTCTGCTGCTTACTTTAACATTCCTCTTGATGATCTCTCGGCTCATCAGGACACGTCCCTCCGACAAGTCGATCCCAGACAATGGTACCAGGGTCTCTCCGATGACCTCGTCACGAGAGAACCGATCGAAGCTCAGCACCATAAAGTGAAGGGCCAACTCAGACACCTGAGCTAGTGGGATCCCGTAGAAGCTGAAGGTCTCGTCGAAGGCAGGATCTAGAGTCTTCCGGAGGACTCGGGTCTTCACTCTGTGCTTTTTCTCTGGTAGCAGGGTCAGCTTGATGTAGGGGTCTGAGGTAAGTGACTGCTCATCGGTTGGGGTCAGACCATGGGCTTCCTGGATGAAAAAGTCAAACAGGATTTTTTAACAAGTATTTATCAATAAAATATGATTAATGTAAAAAAAATGGCACCTGAGTACCAGTATAAACTTATGCAGTACCTTGATGTGAACAATGAATGCCTTCCTCTCTGCCTGGTACTCAAGAGAGAAGTGAAGGGTCCCCAGACCACCTTCCTTCTCCTCTGCCTGGGGCCTGTCCACAGCCGGGGTGGGTGCTTGGCTGGACAGAGTGCTGGATGGCGACGGCAGATCGTGGCGGTCCGTCACACCGGGCTGAGTGAACCCCGCATGGGGAGAGGGCAGCTCCAAGTCTGGAGAGCTCCTCACCTTCTGGTGGTGGTGATGGAAAGGTTTGGTGGTAAAGTTGCCGTTCAGATCGCGCTTCTCAAGATCAAGATGCATGGCCGGTCTGGAGCCATTTGGGCTCGATGCCAGTTTATCGGCATTAGAAGGACTCATTGGCGTAGTTTGGCAGTTTCCATTGACGTCGGTTTTACCGCTGTCGGCGGTTGTTGGGGTGGCGGGTGCTGCGAACTTCTTCTTGCCGCTCAGGCTTTCTGGGTAGATGTCAACCCCTTTAAGCATGTGTACAAACTTGTAAGGAGGAGTCTTCTGGGACTTGGTGTTTTTGCGCTGGCAACAGATCCAGGCGAAAGCTGACGCAGTGAAGACAAGGCCAAAAACACTCACCACAGCAACACCTACTGGCACTGCTACTGTGGAGGAGGATAGAGAGAGGAGAGAAACAAAGGGGAGGGGGTGATGTTGAAGAAAGAAAAAACAAATTGGAACAAGCATCTGTAAAATAAGAACTAATAAAACGATGAACCTTACAGGCTGCGTTGTTGTTCCGAGATAACTGAATTAATTTTGTTTTTCTGACAAACAAAAGCTGCAGCCTTGAGTCAGAGGAAGACAAAAAACAACCCAGTCTCTTCAATCCAGTGCTGAAGTCATTTTCCAAATATGGTTATTGTAAATAAACAGGAAACCCTGGTTTCAAAAAAGAACTGCTCTGGAAAATACCTTATTTCTGAGTCAGAATTTACAAAGAAAGGTGTATAAAGAGTCAAACAATTGAGTATTAGGATATTCAGTGACTAATCTAAACACTTTAAGGGAGCTGGCAAATATCATGAACATGATTTGATCCCTTAATAGTAATGGTACATGTGTTTGTACCAAACCATCATGGTAAAGACATTAGAATGCAATGCATGCAATCAGACAATGAATACAATAGAGTCATTGACAGTCACCACTCTTTTCTAAAGAAAGGCATATATATATATGTATATATGTATATATATAT